AAGCCAGGAACCTTGGTGTCTGACCCCCCCCCCGTCCCCCCAGGGTGGGGTTTGTGCCTCAGTTTCCCCACAGCAGAGAAGCCAAGGCTGATGGTGGGAGGACTGGCAGCGCCCTAGTGTCCCCAGTTTGGGGTTCTCCCAGACTGGGGGGGGTGTGCAGGGTTGGGGTGGGGATGTCACCCAGCACCTCAAAGGCTGATGATGGGTGGGGGCATCCCACCCACCCCCCCCAACACAGCCAAGGTCTCGGGCGGTGGGGTTAGGCGTGGGGGGACATGACACAGTGCCATCCTCTGTCCCCGCAGGCGTCCCCCAAGCTGTCACCGCAGGCGGAGGCCGAGCGGCCAGCAGTGGCCACCCTGCGCCCCGGGGCTGCGCTCACTGGCAAGTTCCTGAGCACCTCCTCCATCCCGGGCTGCCTGCTGGGGGTGGCCCTGGAAGGGGACCCCCCTGCCGGCCCCGCGTCCCTGCTGCAGCACGTCCTGCTGCTGGAGCAAGCGCGCCAGCAGAGCACCCTCATCGCCGGTGAGTCCCCTGCGTCAGTTCCCCCTTTCCCTCCCTCACTTTCCCCTCCCTCAGTTTCCCTTGGCCCTGCCTCAGTTTCCCTTGCTTGCAAACACCACCCCCCCACACCCCCCAGCTGGATTTTTGGGGGGGGGTGGGGGTGCCCCACTGATGGTACCCCTCTCCCGCAGTGCCGCTGCACGGGCAATCGCCACTGGTGACAGGGGAGCGTGGGGGGAGCGTGCGGACGGTGGGCAAGCTGCCGCGCCACCGGCCCCTCAGCCGCACGCAGTCATCCCCCCTGCCCCAGAGCCCCCAGGCCCTGCCCCACGGCGCCCTGCCCCACGGCACCCTCCAGCACCACTTCCTCGACAAGCAGCAGGTCCAGCTGGGCAAGGTGGGGTGTGGGGGCCAGGGGCCCGCGGTGGGGCTGAGAGGGGGGAACAGTGTAGGGGTTATGGAGTGGGTGTGGGGTGTAGGATGTGCATGTGGGGTGTGAGGTATCTGATGTATATGGGGTGGCTATAGGGTTTGGGATGTATGTGGGGTAGGTATGGGGTGGCTACAGAGCATGGGATGGGTTTGGGGAGCATATGGGGTGGGTATAGGGTGTGGGATGGGTTTGGGGAGCATATGGGGTGGGTATAGGGTGTGGGATGGGTTTGGGGAGCATATGGGGTGGCTATAGGGTGTAGGATGGGAATGGGGTGGGTATGGGGCATGGTGATGGCTATAGGGTATGGGCTGTATATGGGGTGGGTATGGATGGAGGAATGGGATAGATACTGGGTGGCTATAGGGCACAGTGATGGCTATAGGGTGTGGGCTGTATGTGGGGTGGGTATGGGATGAGTATGGGGTACGGGCTGTATGTGGGGTGGATATGGGGCATGGGAATGGGTATGGACTGTATGTGGGGTGGGTATGGGGTTTGGGGAGCATATGGGGTGGCTATAGGGTGTGGGATGGGAATGGGGAGCATATGGGGTGGCTATAGGGTGTGGGATGGGAATATGGTAGGGGCTATATGTGGGGTGGCTATAAGGCATGGGATGGGTGTGGGGTGGCTATGGGGTATCTGTAGGGTATGGGGGAGCAGAGGGCAGGGGCTGCCTATGGGATGTTGGGGGGATTAGTTTGGGCCCCGCACCCACTGTGTGTGTCCGTCCCGTCCCCCCCATGCCCCCCAGC